ACGAAACGTTCTATCGATTGTACAGAGAGTTTTTGACCCAATAGGTTTCACATGCCCTTTTACACTCCTTCCAAAGTTATACTTGCAAAAGAGCTGGGAAACTAAATTGAGCTGGGATGCAGAGCTACCTGAAGATATTAAAAGAAAATTCTTGAAGTGGGTCAAAGAATTGCCCTTGTTATCCTCTGTGAAGATTCCCAGACTACTTTCATTGACAGAAGGACAATCTTTTAGTTTGCATACGTTTGCCGATGCTTCACAGGGATCTTATGCAAGTGCAGTATATTTGAGAAGTCAAAATAAAGAAGTCAAAGTGACCCTAGTGCAAGCCAAAGCACGAGTGGCTCCCTTGAAAAAAATAAGTATACCACGACTTGAATTGCTTGCTTGTCTTATTGGGGTGCGATTAGCATCATTTGTCAAGAAGAACCTTAAGGTCGAAATTTCAAAGGAATATTACTGGACCGATTCGTCAACAGCACTGTTCTGGATAAAGAACGTAGAAGTTTGGAGCACTTTTGTGAATAACAGAGTTTCAGAAATTAGAATCCTATCGGATCGTGAAAATTGGCATCATGTACCAGGTGCGGAAAACCCAGCCGATATGCCATCAAGAGGATGCTCTGTGAAGAAACTCATTGAATCAAATCAAGATGGTGGGAGGGCCCACCTTGGTTGGCACTGCCGGAAGAAGAATGGCCTCGTTCTATCCCAATCGATAATAAAGAAGAGGTTAATACTGAAAAACGTAAAGCAGTTATAGTTTCGTTAAGCAATGTTAGCGATATGTCTTCACAATTCTTTGGCTATTTTTCAAAGTATAAGAAAATACTTAGAATGATTGGGTGGTGGATACACAGATTCATAGGAAATACCCGAAAGAGGAAAGAAGAAAGAGAATCAGGAGAGTTAAAAGTTTATGAATTGATAAGGGCTGAGAAATCTATCGTGAAGATTATTCAACATGATTCTTTTTCATCTGATGATATTAAGAAGCTGAAGTCAATAAGTGTGTTCAAAGATGACGAAGGCATTTTACGTGTCAGGTCTAGGTTGACTGAAAGGAAAGACCATGAAAATTTTATTTATCCGATGTTACTTCCGAAGAATCATAAGATTGTGGAGAAATTGATAATTGATAAACATCTCTCTATGTCTCATGCAGGAATTCACGTACTGATGTCAACACTTAGAGAGACGTTTTGGATCCTGAAAAGTAGAGCTACGATTCGAAAAGCTTTATATGCATGTGTCAGGTGCAGGAGACATGGAGGTAAACGACTACAGACTGTGCCTGCTACTCTACCAGAAAACAGAGTTAGAGAGGCTCGTGTTTTCGAGATTGTCGGCGTTGATTTAGCTGGCCCATTAATTTTGAAGGATAAAAGAAAAGCTTGGATTTTACTTTTCACATGTGCTGTGTTTTCAGGGCGGTCCATTTGGAACTGATTTTGTCCCTTTCAACTCAAGGATTTTTACTTGGTCTTAGAAGATTTATTGCTCGTAGAGGGAGGCCATCGATAATTTATAGCGATAAGGGAAGCAATTTTGTCGGATCCAATAATCTCTTGAGATCGATTAATTGGAATACCATTGAGATAGAAGCCGCCACAAACAAGATCGACTGGAAGTTCAGTCCACCCGCAGCACCATGGTGGGGTGGCTTTTGGGAACGACTTGTTCAAATGATTAAGAAGCTTTTGCGTCGAGTCCTAGGCCAGTCATGTCTGAATTATGAAGAATTGATGAGTGTGCTGTGCGACTGCGAAGCAACTGTGAATGCCAGACCACTCACTTATGTGTCAGAGGACTCTGATGATCTCATCCCTTTGACACCGTCCTTGTTTTTAGGTGAAATTCCAGTCTTTGGAGTTCCTGACTTGGATCATCTTGATAAAGTTGATTTCAACAAGAGACTGAGACATTTACAGAATTTACGAGAGCTCTTGAGAAAGAGATTTAGAAATGAATATCTCGGCTTTCTAGTGCAACGTCCATCTACAGTGCCGATTTCTCAACAGATAAAAATCGGTGATATAGTTCTTATCGAATGTGATGACAAACGCAAGGTCTTGTGGCCTCTAGCGAAAGTAATTGAACCATATCCCAAAAGGATGGCAACATTCGAGTAGTTCGTGTCAAAACCATGTCTGGAGAATTAGTTCGACCAATCCAGAGAATATTCCCTCTCGAAATACCTTCATCTTTGGAGTCAGATGAGGCAAATGAAACTGAGACGCAGGGTGAAGACAGTTTAGTCTCAAAATTACCAAAGAATAATTCAGCTGCAGATTTATCAAAGGACATTAAGACTGTCGTGACTAGAAGTGGACGACAAATTAAAATTCCATCTAGATTTCTAACTTGAACACTACTTGAGTTATTTTAGAGTAGAAATTTAAGAACTTAATTTTTTCTTTTGTTTATTTAATTAGGCTTAATATTTGTATGGACAGTATTTTTTTATTATATTTTGTTTTGATTGATTAAGTATATGTCATCAATCAAAAGGTGGGAGTATTGTTAGAACCCAGCCTCAGTTATTTTTCTTTACATAGTTTATCACTGTAAGAGTGGCAACTATCTGATTTTTGTTGTAGTTTCTTGCAGTTCTATGGATTTTGAAAATAAATATGACGCTGTAGAATTTTATATGTAAAGTTATTTGTTTTAAATTTATTAGGAGGAAGAAGAACGGTTAGTTCCTGCAAATCTGGAACACCTACTTTCTTGGATCAATTTCAGGGATATCCATTAAATAATTTTAGTTTTATTCCGTGTTTTGCATTTGTTGCTTATGTTTTGAGCAGGAGTATATTACTATATATTCTGATTAGAATGTAGGTTTAACGAAATGCTTTTAACGAAATAAGATTGTGATAATTACCCGGAGTTTATCCATGACTGCTTTTCAATGCTAAATTCTTACTGTTACCACGTCATTCAGAAATTAGGTTATTCTCATAATTTTCACCTCTCGATTCTTGGACGATAAAATTTGTTAAAGAAAAAGAGGGAAAATACGTCAGGAAGCACGGTGTTCATAAATGACAGATTTTACTATTGCTTAACAATTAATTAGTTTAACAAAATTGCTTTTATTAGAGACAGCAATGTGGTGAATCTTGATTTTTTTTTCATATACGTCGGATATGTGTTAATTTTACAGTTTTATGTTGAATTTTAAGACATAAAACAGTAACATTTTCAAATGTTCTAAAGAGAGTGAAACAAAAGAGGATATGAATTTCGTACTTTTGACTCAGATCTAGTTCCTTTTTTTCCGCTTAAGTTAGTATGAAATATTTTTACTGGTTACTTTAAAAATTTTTCCTGGTAGCAATCTGCAGCACCTCATTAACATATTGCTGTACTGTCAGTGCGTTTTGATATAGTTGATAGTATACGAGTCAAATTCCACGCTGATAAAATATAAACTTTCGTCTTTAGAGATTTGTTTGGTGACCCTTGCAGATACAGAATCGACTTTTGTTGCTAAGTAGCGTACTAAATTATTTATCACGTAAGGCAACTAAGTGTGGCGTCATTGCAAGCATGTGGGATTGGTGTTCAGTGTTAAGGAACAATCTTTGCAAAGGACACCTAGCCTGGACACCAAAGGTCATCTTCAACCAATCTGCGAGAAATAGGCAATATCTCGTAGACTGTCTGAAGATGATTTGCTGGCAAGTCTTCATATACCCTGCAGAGAGTTACAAACTGAAGAAGACTATGTAGATGCATATCATGAGGCTCATGCATGGATTTAAGCATTGTAATACGTGTGTTTGCGCCCACAGTCATATGCCGCTTCACATATCGTTCTTCAAATTACACCCTCTAAATCAGAGGTTCTCAAAGGGATCGATATAGATCCATTGGGGCTTGATGAAATTTTAAAAGCGGGCAGATATGATTAAAGGGGTCGATAGCAGAATATGCAAGGGTAATCGATCAACATAATGGTGATCCCATTTATTACAAAAGCGAAAAAATATTTTAAAACTAATAATTATTTTTTTGTCATGTAAAAAGGAAAGAATCATAACATAAATGTAAGGGGCAAAAATTATTTAATGTATTTTAAGAATCAATAATGCTTTTTAAAAATATATTTATGTTTTTTTTTTTTTGAAAAAAAAAAAAAAAAAAAAAAAAAAAAAAAACATAAAACTCAGAAATAAAAGAAAACACAATTAAAAAAAATACGAAGAATGCAAAGTCCACATGATATCTTAATGTAGTTATGACCTCTGGGCAAACCAGTTTGTTTCAGCCTCTAATACGAAAACCTTTCACAGAAAAGAAGTGTAAATGGATTAGCATGGCGTCCTTATGACCATAGGGCCTCCCAAGCTGCTTTTACGGGCCTTGAGCGCCCAACGGGCCTTGAGGCATATGCCCAACGGGCCCATGAGTTAAGATGGTCCTGGAACCAGCCGCTTGCAAAATTAAAAATGATTTTAATATTTACTTCCAAGACATTGAAAATTTGAGTGTGCGAGCATGGCTTATAGAATCGCTGAAATGCACTATATTTGATCTTGATGTTATTAATTATTAAACTTTTTGAAAAAAATTAATATAAATTTTACTTAATTTTATTTTGAAATTTTTGTCCTTTATAGTTTTCTATGAACTTCATTTAACTTATTTCCTACATTTTTTATTCATAATACACAAGGTAACCAAAAAAGTTCTTGCCGTTTCTGATATTACATTCGAAGAGTGAACCCCAGCATAAAAATTGTCGCCAAACCTAAAGATGACGTGGTTAGGATGGGAGTCCGGGATTCATTTCATCAGTCGCTGTGTAAGGTATGTTTGAAGTACCGATACATGCGTGTTGCATCGGTACTTCAAACATAACTCACACAGCGACTGACTGAAATGGACGCGTTGGAAAAAGACGCTCGTTCGGAATTGTTTGCTGTATGATTTTAAAGTGGGCCTGTCAGCAGCAGAATCAAGTCGCTGAATTTTCCAGGCTTTTGGGGACGATGCCGTTAGCGAACGAACCGCTAGGCAATGGTTCCAAAAGTTCAAGTCAGAGGATTAGTGATGCACCACGCAGCGGTCGGCCACGAGCGCTGGACGATGAGGCCCTGAGAGCAGCCATAGGGAGTGACAGCAGTCAAACATGTGCTGAGCTTACTGCACATTTCCAGGTATCTGATCAAACGTTCAGACTCCATTTGCACTGCATAAGAAATACATACAAGCTGAGCAAATGGGTACTCCACTCACTCTCTGAGGCAAACAAGCAAAGGCGTGTCGCTGCCTGTTTATCATTGCTTACTCGGCACCGCAATGCATCCACATTTGATCTAGTACTCACCAGCGATGAAAAGTGGGTCCAGTATGACCCACTCAAGCGTTCCAGACATTGGTTGTCAGCACGGGACCCTGTGACTCACACTGTGAGACCTTTTCTCCATCCACGCAAGAACATGCTCTGTATCTGGTAGACTAGTCACCAAGTGGTACGCTACAAGCTTGCCAGTGGGCCAAACCATTACGGCAAGCCTGTACTCGCAGCAGTTGAAATGTGTGCATCAGGCACTGATACATAAAGAACCAGCATTGGTCAATTGTAAGGGTGTACTCCTTCTCCATGACAATGCGGGGCCGCATGTGGCTCGGGAGGCCGGACTGGGCTGGGAGACACTACCCCATCCACCATACTCCCCAGACCTCGCGCCAGCAGACTACTACCTTTTCCATTCCCTTGACAGCCGTATTAGAGGAAAATCCTTCAATAACCGGACAGACCTGGAAAAGGCCCTCACGGACTTCTTTGCATCCAAGAGATTTGCCGGAATGGCATCGCACAGCTAGCCACTCGTTGGCAAAAGGCATTGGATGCCGATAGTGATTACTTTGAGGATTAGCGGTGATTATTATTTGTTTTATGACTGTTTCTTTCTGACTGTTCAAAACGGCAAAAACGATTTTGGTTACCTTGTATTAATTTGCTGTAATTTTAAACGTTTAACGTTTCTAATTTGTAACGTGTTATCTAATTTTATACAAATACTTTTTTCCCCATACCATTTAGAATTTTCAACATATTCTGAATTTTAAGCTTTCATATTGTACTCGACGAAAGTAATTGTTCACATATACGGCCCACCAGCGGCCGAGTGGTAAAGTCGGTGAACACTGGTAGTTCGGTCCGAGGTTCGAATCCCGCGAACGGGCTGGCTGCATGGGTGTTTTCGTAGTTTTCCCCATGTGTAACGTATATACGAGCCAGTTTCCCTTAGAAAGTCCTCTACGAAGGCATCTCTTCCCTTAGGCAGATATCCCTAGTGTGCTTTGCCATAATTAAATACACCAACACCAGTTCACATATACGTTGTTTATTTGTTATATTAATTAACTTTATATACAATATTTTAACTTCTTTCACACTTTTTTTTAAACTTTACATTTTCAACATATTCTGAATTTTAACTTATTTCTTACATTTTCAAATCATATCCATAATCATTATTTATTACATCATTTACAGATAAAACGTAATTTTTAACTTTGTGGATATTTTTTATCCTTTCTAGTTTTCTATAGGCTCTTTAATTTCAATGTATTTGTTATATATTCGATTTTTACAAAGACATTTATTTTTCAAAATCTGAGCTTTTTTATTTAATGCAGTATTCTGATTTCTTCCACGTGTTTAACGAATAACGATGTCTTCGATATCTTCTTTACACTGCCCAATATTTTTCTAAGCAATTTAAGTATGTAACTGTTAATTACTTTTCTTACATTAATATTTTTTTCTCCCTTAGTTTGTATTTCCTAGTTCTAGATTAACTACTTATAGTACTACTTCCATTTTTCATAGTTTTAACCATTCATAATTCTAATATTTTATTTTTTTTTAGACTTTAAACATTCTGAATTGTTATAATCTGCTGCTTATTCAGACGTTTCTTTATGATTTTTAAATTATTATATTCTCTGATCATAATCGATCATCTAAACGATTTAATTTAACACACTATTACGCATAAATTTCCTTACAGAACTTAAAAGATACAATTTAATATCATTTATATCTGAATGCGAGTGTATAGCTGAATGAAATTCTCATTACATTTTTAAGGTCTTCGGAGTTTTCTAACATCATGTTTAGTTTTAAATCTCGATTACTTTTGAGCGTATTCATAATTTTAATTCGTAATTCTACAACCATATATCCTATTTCATTCACTAATGCCAAAATATTTCTTACAATTTCTGATATTTAATATACAACACATTTCAATATTATAGGTTAATTTGCACCCCCTTGTACTGTTATTTTTTATATTTTAGATAATTATGGTAATTCTTCGTGCGCTAATTTACTACTCTATGGTTTACTTGTGTGGATAATTTTTAAGAAAACTAGCGATTATTAACATTATGTGTAAACGCTTTGTGACAATTTCTATTCACGACAGGTATTTCTTCTTGATTTATTTCTACTTCTTGACTTGATTTTTTCTACTTCTTGACACTGTAGAAAACTTTTATTTTACAGATTCTGCTTTTAAAGAAAATGCATAATAAAAAATCGCTATACATCTGCCGTTTTTGCAAAGGAACATTAATTTACTTCTGGAAATGTAAATATTATAAGCCGCTTCTATAATTTTCTTACCGTAATATCAGTTTTCGATAGTTTATTACTTTCAGTAATTCTTTTGTTAGCCAAAGCACTTTTCGTATGAATGAAAGATTGTAAAAAACGTAATACAGTTATGAGTATTACCAATACACATAACTTTACCACATACAAACATTACCTATTGAACCGAAGAAAGACAGAGTAAAGCATATTTTACTCTAATCTACATTATATTTAAAAAATACTTTAACTTTCATACATCCCAAGTACAGAAATTTCTTCTTAAAATCCTCAACATGCCAGCTATATCGCTTAAGAATTTTAACGACAGAGAACATTCTTTCAGTAAAATATTCTGAGCAAATTATATTCCTATTGTAGGGTTACTCTTTGTCACGCTTTGCTATTCTCTCCTTACGTACAGATGTCACGCAAAAACATCGTTAAATTGCATTCGATAGCGGTCAAAATAGATACTTTCGTTGAAATATGCTGCCTGAAACTTTTCCCGATTACAATACTTCCTTTTTACTTCGTACAAGGAAGTAAAAATACATGTCTAAACCTCTAAAATAACCATCTTATAGAAACCGTGCAGATTCTTCCGAAAGATGAGAACATTAATAATTGAAAAAAATTCATTTTTATAAATGTTACATATAGACTTTTTTTTTCTTTTTTTGTCTTTAATAGTGTATAGATTAGGTATCGAAAAAGTAATTCTATGCAGAGATTGTAACGTCTCGTGTTCTTTGGTAATATAATCTGTGCGAGAAGTCTTAAGACTACGTAAATTATCACTATGCCTTATGAAGTACCGCACAAGCAATTAAAATGTGTAAAGGACCTTTTATTTAACTGAAATAAAGGTTAACAGCAGGCACATTTAGAAAAGTAGCCAGGATTTATGGCTTAAAATGAAAGAGAATGAGTTTGACTGGACTAAGTAAAAATAAGTCAGTCTAACGGCTACATAAGTAGAGTAACGCGCAAGTTGGCTCTGACGTAAAGGTTGCGTGGCAAGCCTAATGGCGAGAACAACGCGGGGCCGCAGAATACAGCTGTCAAGAGAATCAAATTAGTAACATGGCTTTCAGCAGGCAGAATACACTCTGATTCTATCCTCTAAAACCCTTCCTTTAAATACTATATCCTTTCTACCTCATTTGCGAACTACAAATTTACATTCTGGGCGGAAAAGGGAAATGAGGAGGATAGGAAGGTGTGAGTTAACGTAAAATAACTGGTTAAAAACTAAACGAAGCTCTTACAAGATTATTGTAAAACATACTGATAAATATATTGCTACGCATTTTGTACTTATATAGCTAATTTCAGTAGAATTATAATTAAAATTGTTGTATTTTCCAGTGCAATGCAGCGCGAGACAACTTTTAAGAGAAAGCTATGCGGGAAAAGTAAAAATACAAGAGCACGTGCATGTATCTCTTTAATTTGTATTGAAACTGAATAAAATTAATTGACAACTGTGTTAGCTGTAACCATAATTCCACACTCGTTTTGCTTTCCAGAAATCTCGAGAAGCAGAAATTACTAGAAAGATCTCACGCGACCGGTTGAAATCTATAAAAGGTCGGCGAGAGAGTTGTTTTAGTTTCAACGAACCAGTTCCTGTAGTACGACAGGCCAAGTACCTTGGGAATTATAATTAATAATCATCTCACTTGGACCCGTCATATTAAACACGTTCGATCTCAATCTCTAAGAGTTATGAAGTACTTACTTCCTGTCATAGTAAATACTCCAAACTAGACCTAAATAAGAAAAGGCTTATCTACCTACCTATAATCCGTCTGATTATGACTTACGCCTCACCTGCCTGGCCAGCCGCTACATAATTTGATACAAGTTGTTCTTTTGGTGCTGTTGATCTGTTACAGTTGTTCAAAGAAAATTTCTTCGCATAGTAACTAACGCACACTGCTTCGTAAGAAACAAGACCCTTCATGACGACCTGAAAATAGAACCGACTGAAACCTATCTGCTCAAGGCAAACGAAAAATTCATCACTGACTGAGATTTTACGGAATTGAGATTTTACGAAAATTTTCAATCTCTTCCACTATGAAGTCTTGGTAGATGATCGTCACCTTAGACCATTTGTGGCTTTTTTCATTAACGAAAACAAGAATTTTCCCACTTAATGTTATAAATTGATTATTTTCCATCTCTTAGTAAACATAAAGTCTGAATCATTTTCAAGCAGGACTTGTAACTTTCTTACTGAAACTGAAAACTCACAGCCAGTAGGATGGCTCCACACTTCCACGTGATAAAGTAGTCACACCCTCTCCTTAACTTCAATCATATCCAGGGAACTTTCAGCCCCGTAGAGCACACTAAAACAAGACAACCGGCAGAAAGCTTTCTCTAGAAAGCTAGGCTCGATATATAGAGGAAACGGGAGCTGTTTTAGTTAGTTAGTTGCTTAATTATTGTTATTGCGATTATTTAGTTCCGCGTGAACTGAGATATCGGAATTGGCTTTCTTTTTAAAATGTTGTGTGGTGCGTTCTAATTAACGTTTTTAGAGGGTTGAAGTGTAACTGATTCTTACTGAGTGATATTGAGAACACTTGTACGAATATCTCTGAGGAAAATTCCAAGTTATGATATATTTCTTTTCATAAGAATAAATTTTATTAACCTATTATCGGGCTTGTGCATTCAATCTATTACGAACCCGTACTCGTATGCCCGCAACGACTTTTTGATGTGAGGAGTGGGGTTGAGCAGAGATGAAAGCTCTTAAATAATAAATGAAAACGAGCCAAGAGTAATGCAGCCGGTAAAGAATCCGTTAAAGATAAGATGGAAGAATCCGTTAAA